TATCATAAAAGTAGAATATTAGATGAAGAGATTGCTAAATCAAAAAGCTTGAAAATTTATACAAGTAATGATAGTTCGTTAAATAATCTTGATTTTAACTCTTTTCTTTAGAATGTTGAAGGTAAATAAAAATTTCATTTTTAATTAATTAATTGGAACCTACTATCCATTAATTATTACTAACAATATTTTTAATTGCGTAGGTCCTAATAATTAAAAGAAAGGATCAATGAATGATCAAATTAATCTCCTAAATTATTTGTTATAATTATTTGTCTATCTTTATTTTATTTCTTAAAGCTAAATAATAAATTTTTCGCAGTTTTTTATTCTTGTTAAATAGTGGTATTGCAAGGTATCATTTCAGTTAATACTGATTATTTAACAAGTATGGCTAATTATGCAGGCAACTCGCAATAATTTGGTGCTTGTCAATTAATTAGTTTACGACGAATCTGTGGGTACATTTAATGGTACCAGATAAATAAAGATGACCGTTTACAAAGCTCAAGGATTTCGATTTGTTTCAGTCGTTCACATTTATTGATCGATTGGAAACTCGCTTTCTTTACTTGCAAAACAACTCAAGTAGCTTGTTTAACAGCCTTACATTTACAATTACAATATTAGTATGTTAAAAAGTATCCTGCCGTCACTTCGTGACGTCATAATCAACATGATATTTTTGATCAACTAACCTATAACCAGGACTAACAAATTAATTTTTATTAGCGAATAATTTTGTTTAAAGAAGAATTTTATTTATTGAAACTAATTTAAGTTATTACTTCTAACTTGTAAAACTTATTACAAAAGTTATTTTACAATAAATTTTGGCCGCCAAATGTCAATAAATTAACTTATCGTCCATTTTACTTAATTTGGTAAGATCACATTGCTATAATCGGGTGTAATTTGGAGGCACTTACCCTAAAATTAGGTCCTAATCATAATACTTGGGGGACCTTAAATATTAGAAAATCTTAAACGTTCGATGCATTTATTTTTTTTCATCAAATTAAAATTTAACCACAAAGATTTTCACCAATGGAGGTCAAGGTTAGGTTTGAAACTCTTTTTATACTAAAAAAAAACACAAAAGAAAAAATATGAAATCATCAATAATAAATATATTTTGTGAAAATAAAGGATACAAACTTCATGAATAACTCAATTACAAAAACATGGACTCAACATCTTTCTTCTTCTTCATCGATAGTAGAATCTAATTCAAGACAAGATGCATCTGTAGAAACCACAACCACACCACCCGTCTCTTTGCCATCTAATGCTTTAAACTCACAAAACAAACAAGGAGAACACGCTGATGAGAATGGAATTAAAAGAAAAAAATCAAAGTATACAAAAGAATCAAAGAAAAAAGTTAAATGTGTGAATAATAATTTTTATTTAAATACAATTAACTAAATTATAAAGTTAAATGTTTATTATTATTTGTTATCTTCTTCTAATAATCTTTACATAGTAGTTACAGAGTTTAAGACAAGTTTACCTAATGCACGATTATCTGATTTGGGTGGAATTGATTCTTGTATCGAAGAAGTATTGGAGCTGATTGCCATGCCATTAGCTCATCCTGAAATATATTTGCATACCGGTGTTCAGCCACCAAGGTTGATATTATTATTATTATTTAATTCAAGATATTTATAATTGATTGGACTGGATTAGATTAGATCAGAGTAATTAGATGAATTTTGCTCACAAGTCCTTTAAGATCAGATCAACTTAGATGATGGGATTAGAATAAAATCAATGAATTGTTTGGCTAAAAAAAAAAAAAATACTCGCTGTTTTAGTGATGGATATATTTATTTGCAAATGATTTGATTTCTTTAAGAATTCATTTCAAGATTATATTTAACTTAACTAGTCTCCAGTTCTGCTCAATTTAATTAATCATTACGAACATATTTAATTGACTTTATAATAATCATGATATACAGGGGGATTCTTTTACATGGACCTCCTGGATGTGGCAAAACTTTGTTGGCTAATGCAATTGCTGGAGTAAGCTTTTGATTCTTTGATTTAATGCATTTATTTTCAATGATTTGCTTTTACAGTATGCTTTCTAAAAAAAAAACTAAAAAAATAAACCATTTGTATAAATTTAATTATAGGAATTAGGTGTATCATTTATAAGCATTTCAGCACCTTCTATAGTTTCGGGTATGTCTGGTGAATCTGAAAAAAAGATTAGGGATGTTTTTGAGGAGGCCAAGGTGAGAAAAGAATTTGATTTTTTAATGTGATTTAAATTTATGATTCAAAAAATTGAAAATTTATGTTTAAATAATAGGATCAAGCACCATGTTTAATATTTGTAGACGAAATAGATGCAATAACGCCCAAGCGAGAGACAGCACAACGTGAAATGGAAAGACGTATTGTGGCACAGTTATTGACATGCATGGATGGTAAAATTAAAATTGTTTAATAGTTTAAATTTTGGAATCAATTTTTATTTTTTTAATTTTAATCTTTTTGATTGAAGTAATTTGATTTATGATTTAGATTTGTCATGGGAAAAAACTGACAACAAACCAATTATGATTATTGGCGCAACCAATAGACCAGATTCACTGGATCCCGCGTTAAGACGAGCTGGAAGGTTTGATAGAGAAATTAGTATGGGGGTACCTGATGAACAGGCAAGAGAAAAGTAAGTATTATTCAAATTTTAAGATGATCATGGTTGATTATGATGATTTGTTTAATGATGATGATTTAACAAATTATTTATAGAATTTTAAAAGTAATTGCATCTAAATTGAAGCTTTCGGGAGATTTTGATTTCAAGGCTCTTGCCAAGATGACACCTGGTTATGTAGGGGCAGATCTAAACGCATTGACAAGCGCAGCAGGAGTGATTGCTGTAAAGCGTATATTTACACAATTATCCAAATCAGATGCTTTATCCAGTTCAACAGTAATTGAAGATGACCATAAAAAATTAAAGGATATAAACGATCCTAATATAGGCTCAATACCAAACAGTAGTGACACTGCAACCTTCGAAAATCAAACATCTGCAGAGCAATTTCGATCAATATCTAATTTTCTTAGAAATCATCCTGATCCACTCAATGAGGAAGAGTTAAAGCCATTGAGTATAACTAATGAAGACTTTATACAAGCGCTTTCCAAAGTTCAACCTTCATCAAAACGTGAAGGATTTGCAACTGTACCAGATGTCACATGGGCAGATATTGGTGCATTGAAATTTGTAAGAGATGAATTAAGAATGGCTATTGTAGAACCAATTAAGCATCCAGAATATTTTCAACAAGTGGGAATAATGGTACCTACCGGAGTATTATTATGGGGCCCACCTGGATGTGGGAAAACTCTTTTGGCTAAGGCAGTTGCAAATGAAAGTCATATTAATTTTATATCTGTCAAAGGGCCAGAATTATTGAATAAGGTGGGTGTGCGCGTAATTTATTTATTATTTTAAATTTAAGAAACATCTTTTAAAAAAGATCCATCAATTGTATTTTTAGTATGTTGGTGAAAGCGAGCGTGGAGTACGACAAGTGTTTGCTCGTGCAAGAGCCTCTTCACCATGTGTAATATTTTTTGATGAACTTGACGCATTGTGTGCGCGTCGTGATGATTCTAAGGTATGTTTGATTTATAAATAAATAAATATTTATAATTATAAAGTTTATAAGTCAATTTTTTTTTTAATTATTAGTCAGAGGCTTCAGCACGTGTTGTTAATACTCTGTTAACTGAATTAGATGGTCTCGAAAATCGTAAACAAGTTTATGTAATAGCCGCAACAAACAGGCCAGGTAATGAATGATAATGATTTTAGATTGATGAATTTGTATAATCGATTTTTAAACATGGATCGATGATTATTATTTTTTTTTTTGTTAAAAACAAAATAAAGATATTATTGATCCAGCTATGATTCGTCCTGGTCGCTTAGATAAACTTTTATATGTGGAATTACCTACTTCTTCAGAGCGTTATGAAATATTGAAAACCCTTACAAAAAAAACACCTTTGGATGATGATGTATCATTACTAGAAATTGCAAATGATGCACGATGTAACAATTTTAGGTATGTAATATAATATATATATATATATATATATATATATAATGCATAATTGTTTATTTTATTTTTAATGCTAATTGTTTATATTTTCATCGGTTTAAGTGGTGCGGATTTGGCATCGTTGGTTCGGGAAGCAGCTGTTTCAGCATTAAGAACAAATTTGTATAATAATTCAGAGAATTTATCAAAGGTTTCATCACAAACCAATTTGGAAATTTATGTAAAAAATCAACATTTTGAAATAGCATACAATAAAGTAGTACCTAGCGTATCAAAAACTGATAAAAAGAAATATGATTCATTGAGGATCAAATTTGGATGTGTCGCAGCTACTACTATCACTACAATTTGTGATGCTATTTAACATTTGACTTGATTTTATATTTATTCTTTACATTAAAATAAATTTCAATCATATTTTAAATAATTACACCATCGGCGTGGTTTATTTTTAACTATGCATAATAAATAATAAGGCATCAAATCCTTTACGATATGCATCAATTAATCGCTTGGATACTTCTTTCTAAAATAGCTTTGGGACAGTTTTTTCTAAACTAAACACTTACTTTTTATCTATCTATATTGAAAATAAAATTTTATGATGCCTTGATGCCTTCTATGAAGTAATCAATTAAAAAAATGCAAAAGAAATAATTTTGGCCAATAAAAATGATTTTCATAGTAAATATATTCTAAATTTAGATAGTATTGGCATTTTCTATTTCTAAATTGTGTTTTTGTCTTTCTGCTTGTCGCGCCCCATATGTACTCAAAGAGAATAGAGAAAAAATCTTTAGTTAGTGGATAACTGGTAATTCCCCGATTGTTCATTGAACATCCAATATTTGTTTTAAATAATAATAAATTCAATCAGGGAAAAATTTACTTCAACACTTTGCATTTTTTTTTGGCTTCACCGAGCAGACGTTCACTTGAAACAGAAGCTGCTGCAACACATAAATGTTTTTTAACTAATAACAACAAAGTTGTATATTAGTTTTCATGGTTTATGATACCTCCACCTAAAAATTTATTAAATCCTGCTTACTTGATCCAAGTCCAAAGATTGTTTATATGCTGATTGTTTATGCACTTTGGCTCGATTGTATGTCTAATTCTTTGATTGTCTTTTTAGGAGGGGAGCAGAGGATTGTTGATTTCGGAACACTTTTTTTGAAACTCCTCTTGTAAATTGCATCCCATTGTTTTACCCTAGGATCTAGAACATATGCAATTAACTCTTCAGCGGTTGGATCTTTCTAATAACAATCACTCTTTCAATTCACTACTACTGCTTTATATATAGAAAAAGAATGTCTTGTATGAAGATGGTGATTGTGGAGGAGATAAAATAATATATTAAAAAGGTAATGAATAATAATAATCGGCGAACGTTATTCGATACAACCACACTGTAATAAACCAATTAATTAAATAAAACAAACTTTGCTATTGTTAAATTATTTCTTTTGTTTGTTTATTAAAATAATTTATCACGAAATGTTTTTTTCTCGTATTATTAAAATAATAAATTGATCTTTTACAATAATGATTAATAATAAAGAGTAATTTTATCTGTTGATAAATCCTTGGAATGTTCTTTCGACTATATAATGAACATCTTTTCTCAGCAATCAAACATTTGCAGCTGAATGCGCTCTTATTGCTTTTTTCCAATTTTATATTTGCGTTAATAATAATAATAATAATAACAATCTAATTTGACCTTGTATTCTCAATTTTTATTTTTATCAATTACTTGAAAAACTTCCAATTCATCATAATTATTACGAGGTTTTAATTTGATATTGTTATAATTGATTGATTTGCTACTAACCCTACAATCTACATAGAAGCAAAGATCGCTACCAAAAAAAGGTAGCAGCGTAGTAGGATGACACATAAATGTTTGAAATTCCTGACTATGATTAACAACATTGACAACATTACTAAATAGTGCAGTATTAATATCATTTCTATTACTTATATTAAATATAAAACTTCCATCTATAATTGTATATTTATTCCATTTAAGTGGATTATAGCCACCAATTATTTGATCAGAATTTTGTATTTTGGCAACTAGAAGAGTTTTTTCAATATTATCACATTTTTGATGAAATATAGTTGCATTTAAACCATCTCTGCTGCTACGATATATGAGTTTAAATTTGTACTTGACTGTTTTAAATGAATTGTATGGTGAACTTTTTTTATCAATCCAACTTGCAAAAAGCAAAATATTGTTTTTATTGGTAATGATTGTTGAATCAACCATTGGAATTCTTAGTGGTAATAAATTCAAAGTTGTTTGTTCATCAGGATACAAATAATATTCCAAAAGATTATCTGACAAACTCTCAGGAATAAGTTTCTGATATTGTTTAATTTTAAAACGGAAATCCTTATTAGAGATGCTTTGGAATCTGATTAATAAAATCAATTCTTTTAATGTCTTTCCCAAATCAATGAAATTTTGTTTTGTCCATTGTTTAACATCATCATTGTTATTACTGATTTCTGGATGTCTTGCCAAACCCCATTTAAGAATTCCTTGCCAAACATCTATCTCATCAACACAGAAATCATCTCTTTCAAGGATCTCCAATAAAAGTGACTTTTCCAATGAATTAAATCCACTTGACTCAAATAATTTTTCTCCATCAGCACAAATTTTTTCCACACAGATATTTTTTAGTTTATCAAATCTTATCTCGTTAGTGTAGGTTAATTGTAGAACTTTGACTGTGTTATCATTTATATAGTCTTCATGACTTTCAATAAAATACTTTATTGTGTAATTGAAAAGTGCCTCAAGATCAAATTCATCTGCTGCAATTAATAAGCTCAATAAATCAGCACAAGTATAATTGTTTAATTCCACTTTACATGTATATATATACCTTTTTTAAAGATAAATAAATAAAAATTATTGCACTGTATTAATAAAGTGGATAGATTAATTTATCAAATAAACTCACTTTAGAACAATTTTAAAAATAGATTCACTGATGTTAGATTTGTTAATAACATAATAGCCGCCATGCTCTTTGCTCGCACTGGACAGAACTTTTTCAAAAAATGGACACTGAGCACATAGGATTAACGAATGTGCATGAAAATCTATGACAAATTTTTCTTCTTGATGAAGGTGAATTATGACATCGTATTTATTATTATTTGGTTCTAATAATCTTTCAAAATTTTTTAAATATTCTGTTAATAATGTTGTATCCATTTTTTTTTTTTGGAAATTCTATTTCTTCTGCCAAAGAGAAAAAAATTTGAATGGTTCATTGAATAAGATTAGGATCGACGACAAAACAAAATCAGGAAAGTTCAGTGATTAAGCTGTCATGTAATGTGACTGTGATATTAATGGTTGTTGCATTGTTTCTTAAATAGGTTACTCTTACATAAAATCTAAACTCGATAAGTCGGACATTTATTATAAAGTACTTTAAACAATTGATTGCTGCGTCCGACTTATCGAGTTTAGATGTGTAGATATACAACTAGAAGATTTCAAGATTTTTGAATCAAAATGAATTTCAACAGTGTGTGGCATTCAACTCAAAGACTAACGAAGGAAAACCTGCACAGGAGATGAAAATTTGATTTTAAGGAATTCTACAACTTTGCAATCAATAGTGGGAAATTCAAATTTTTGGTTCGTTTTTGCATGGTTTTACTAATATTATTACTTGGATAATTTAAAAAAAATTTTTTTAAGTGTTAATAACTGCAATGCAAATCAAATATTTTTAAAACTGCTGCTTTCCTTTACGACAATCATCAATTTACGAAAATTTTTTTTTGAAAGTTTGCCGTGTTTCTAAATTCTATTATGTCTTCTTCATCTTTCTTTAAGCAAATTTTGAAATATTCAATGTACTCTTGCTAACTCTACTTTTGCTTTGCTTTTGCTCTTTTGCTCTGCTAGCTATTGCGGATCACTCTCCAAAAAATTTTTTCTTCCTTTTATATAGTTGAAACTCTGATTGTCTAAATGTAAAAATTTTATATAAAAAAAAATATGTTGTCAATATAATCATGATTATTGATGATAACGAAAATTATTCAATCTTTAATTTATTTTGTCATAAATATCATAAATATGTGTCGCAAATACAATCTTTCATTTGGTGAGCAATATCATGTGATATGTCATTTTGTAAAAATAGTGTTTTTGGTGAAATAACTCATATTTAAAAAATTTAGAAAATGTATTAATAATAAATATCTCAACATAAACATAGAAAAAGATTACATTGTTGTCTTTAGATGATGTGGTGCATCATACTTTATATAAGTTATTATTTTAATTTTTATCAATTACTTGAAAAACTTCTAATTCATCAAATTTACTACCATCCACTATATTGATGCTATCATAAGTGCCTTGTCCATTATGAATATTACCATTCACTTCAAAAAAAAATTGCCACGCATTATAACTATTACCAAAAATAGGTAAATAAGAAGAATTACAACCAATTGCACAATCATAATTATTATTAATAACATAACTATGCAGTGCAGTATTAGTATCATTCCTATTGCTTATATTAAAAATAAAACTTTCAGTTGTCATTTTAAATAAAGCGGCTCCACTCCAATCAAGTGGGTTATAGCCGCCAACTATTTGTTCTGAATCTCGTATTTTAGCAACTACAAGAGTTTTGTTAAAAGTGTCACATTTTTGATGAAATGAAGTTGCATCTAAGCCATCTCTACTACTACGATATATAAGCTTAAATTCATATTTAACATCACTGAATGAATGATATGGTGGACTTTTTTTATCAATCCAACTTGCAAAAAGCAATATATGCCTTTGATTAATTCGACTAATTGTCATTGAATCAAATTTTAAAGCTCTTGGTGGTGATAAACATAAAGCTGTTCGATCATCAGGAAATAAATAATATTCTAAAAGTTTATTCCATAAATCCACAGGAATAAGTTTCTGATATGGTTTAATTTTATCACGAAAGTCCTTGTTAGAAATATCTTGGAATCTAATTGATAAGATTAATTCTTTTAATGTGTTTCCTAAATCAGTAAAATTTTGGATTGACCAATTTTCAATATTGTTATTGCTGATTTCTGGATGTCTTGCTAATCCCCATTTAAGAATCTTTTGCCAAATTTCTATTTCATCAACATATAAATCATCTTTTCCAAGAACTGCCAATAAAATTGGTTCTTCAAATGAATCAAATTCTTTTGAATTAAAAAATTTTCCACTATCAATGCAAATTTTTTCTACACAGATATCTCTTAATTTATTAAATTTTTCTTTATTGGTGCAGATAAATCGCAGAATTTTAATTGTGTTATCATTTATATAGTCTTCAT